AGTACATGACTGCAAATAGCCTTGACACTTCTATACTTCTAAGAATCTTAAATACAGGAATGTTGAGTCACATTCAGACACAGAGACATACAAATCCTTCAACAACACTTTATGGAAAAGATTGAAATCAATTTCTTCTTTATAAGACAGAGAATCTAAGCTTTATATTGAAATTAAATACCTATCTAAATCATTCCCTCCATATAATCATTACACAGAATAAATTCCAGAAGGCAGCTGGGTTCTAAAAGTAGGTACAACTATTTCAGTTCGTTATATAGTTTACAAAACTTTAGTTTAAAAAAAATTATATTTGCACTCATTTCTTTGTTGTCATCAAGAAACATATAGCCCAAAGTGTACAAGCCATATTATCTGACAGTTGAAAAATGGAGCTGTCCATTTCGATCAAGCACTGTTCTCATATATTTACATAAACCCAGTCTCTTATGTCTGGAACTGCAATCTAGTAACTCTTTATGTTCATTCATTCTGAGTCTGCATCTACAATTTTGGAAGGGTGGGTAATTTCAACCCTGACTTCCAGCCCTGTGCAGTCACCCTGAGACATTTCATGTACTGAGCACAGTGTCCCGCATGTGGGCACGTAACTTAAGTAACAAGAATAATAAATGCTTATAAGCACTAAATTAAAAATAATGAGATTCAATGCAAAATGTGTACTTAAAGCCAGTAACCAAAAGAAATGCTCCTGCTTCCTAATGCTCTTTTAAAACATTGAAAAGTTTTGTACATGGATCTCTCACATAACTACTTGCTGTAGCCATGTTCTGATTCAGAATACTCTAAGATCATTTTGAGTTTTACCCAAAGTTCAGGTTTCAAGGTGAAATTTATATGATTTAGTTTCTCCAAATATGTAGGAGTGTATATAGCTCCAAGGCAAGATGACGTCCTTTCTAAACACCAATAGGTGCTTGTAATCACAGTTGTGGTTTATATGTTTGTAACTCTCATTTGCATAATCCTGCTCAGAGATACCTTTTTTTTTCCCTAGGAGGCCTACAGAAGGATTCAGCTTAGATAAACTTTTATTTCAGTTAAGTAGGTATCAATATGAATTACAATTCTCCAAACACCATTTAAATTCAATGATTCAACACTAACATTCTTCCGCTTCCTTTCCTAAGCACATATTTCAAATGTCTGAGGGATTTGTTTGAACAACTTCATAGGTGCTAGTCCTCAGCTCAGACACCTTAGCTTCTATTGAGCTTGGAAAGATCTTTACTGACAGTTCCTCTTGGGTTTGTAAAGAAAAAAATGAGCCAAACCATATTCACTGCTGCAGCACACCACAAGTACAAAACACAAGAGCAAATGGTTAACAGACTTTCAGGCACATGGGCAACCCTTGCACAACCCCTGTACAGGGCTGCCACTCCGTCCAGTTTTCATATAAATCCTGAGTCTCAGTAAAATTCTCCAAATCTCAGCAGCTGTGTACCCTGCAACTTTAAATACACATGTACAAAATAGAAAGGAATAAAATTTAACTAAGAGTTTAGATCTATTTGCACTGAGGTTGTTTCCAAGAGTTGTATGTCTCTGTCCCAAAAAAAGTTGCTATAAAAGAGGATGTTTATAAAAGAAAGTAGTTACTGGTCACAGAGAAGCACAAAGTGGGTGACTTGCAGTGCAAACTGACAACATTCCTTATGATACTGCCTATGGCAGCTTAGGAAAATGTCTGTTACCCAGCAAGTGTCAAAGCAGAAACATGCAGTTTCTCCACAACAGATTTTTCTCTTTAGAAAATTTCAGGGACAAAGCATTCAGTCTCTCATGGGGCAGGGTGTTACTTGCTGCATATAAGAGTCCAGTGGCGACAATTTTTAGGTAGCAGAGCACCTGAACCCTTGTGAAGGCTTTGTCACTTGCCTGCAGAAATCTCCCATGGCAAGCTACTGGTTATGCAGCCTCCATAGAAAGGGATTATCAGGGGAGACTAGTAAAAGAGACACTGAGCTTTTTTCAAAATGCAGTTTTGCCCTCTATGAAAAGTAAACGGCATTAATAATGCTTATTGGTTATAGGCATACAATAATGCCTGTGTTGCAGTGTAACTGCAAGGCAGCTCCTCCTTAATACATGGGAGCCTCCTTAATACATGAGAGCTGTGGTCCAGCCGGCAGGCAAAGGAACAAGATAAAAATTACAAAGTTCTGCATTTTAAATAACATCTACAGTCTCAGGTACAGCAAAAGAAGTGCTTGCCTAAAGAAACAAAATTCTGAAGTTGAACAAAGCTTTGTCAACTCATTGCATTTTATTTTTCAAACAGAAAGGACCCCAGTTTCTTTTCAAATTTCAAATTCAAGTTGTGTCATTTTAATGCTGCGCTTGACTATTTCCAAACTTTTCTTTTCTTGCATAAACACTAATGAAATATCAAGTTAAATTTTAGTATAAATAAAATAATGAATAAATATAACAAAAATCTAGCAGACCCAGGTTTGAGAGACAAATTTCAACAGCATTTCCCCCCAAAATTGAATTTATTGAATAAATACCTTTCCATCTCTAGGAAAATGACCTGTCTTTTAATACAGTGATTTAGGTCAAAAGGATTTGCTCAGTCTTCTGAAATTTACTAACAGCTTCTTACTGGGCACAGTGAAAATGTGCATGTTCGGAGTTTACTCCAATCAGTTTTGATTTTTTCCTCCTGTCATGTAGATAACACTAGTGTACTGTTGTGTTAAGAGTATAGAAATTTAGCACGACAATAAACCCCCTTGTGCTCCAGCTGCTCCTCAGAGGTCAGAGGGGCTGGGTGCGGCTGGGCTTAATTTCTGATTATAGCCAATTTGGCACTGTAAGTCTGATCTTGTTCAATAGGAACTTCCACAAGCACAGATTTCATGAATACTGTTTTCAACATGGTAGGTCTGGCCATGTTCACTGGAACTTGTGCAATCACAGATTCACAACTAGTGTGGTTTAGTGAAGCAACAGAAATACAGATTTGGAATTGCATTTGCTGCAATAGAGCTCCAATAATACTACTATTATGATAGCCCAGGTAATAATAATTGTATGCAGAAGCTTGCCAAGAAGGCATCCCTGCTTGGGGGGAGGAACAGGAGAGAAGAGTCTGTCTCCAGGGTCTGTCTCCCAGGTCCTTTTGGGTCTTCCCCCTAACTAGGTGAGATTTCTACCCTGCTTAGTCCAGTCTTATACTTTCCCTCCTGCTTATGTATAGCATGATCTAAGGGGAGAATTGAGTAATACAGTCATATATGTGGTAGCATGTACTTCATTGAGCTTATTAGCATATACTGAGTTTTCATTTTAACATTTAAGTGCACCTTAATTAGGAAAGTTTCTCTTTTGGCCATGGCGTCCTTCAACATTCTGGTAATATGACTTTGTTCTGTCCTGTGCTGTTTGTCTAAAAAGGACCATCCTATCTCCACAGGACTTCCTCCTTCAGCCAGCTCATCCTTTCTTGACATCAGCCATGCAGACCACTTCCCACAAAGATAATTTAGAGGGTACACAGTGTAGGCTGCAGGTAGTAAGCCTTAACTCTTGCCTGTTTCCTTGGTCATTATCCCATGTTATGATGTCATCATCCCTGAAGAGTTACTTTGATTATTTCTGGAAAACAGAATTATTTCAAAGTAAAACCTCTGCTTCCAACCTGATATGTGTCACCCTTGTATCCCTGATAAGGCTTTTCAAGGGAGAGGTGAGCATACTAAGGTCTTGCAAAAGCAGCTGGACCTCTGCTACGCACAGATGCTGGGAGTCGTCTTGGGAGCAGAAGTCCTAATTGAAAAACTTAATTAAGCCCGGTGCAGAAACAATAGAGAGCAGTAAAGATTTCCATGTGAAATAGGTGTACCCTGTTAAGGCTGACAGTGCTATCCAGGTGGAAGAGGTCTCTTTCCCTTAACTTAAAGGTGTCCTTCGCCTGGCCTGAAGATAGTAATAATTTTTTTCCTTCAATCTTTTTTTTTCCTCTCACTTTAGAAAAGTTGAAAGAAATATCTTTTCAGTCTTCTGTCAACCAAACTACCATGAGAAATTCTTTCTTCTGGAGTTAGCTGTTGAGATGTAATTGCCCTGGCAATTCACACTCTGGGCAATGTTGTGATTTCATGATCTCACAGCATCCACGCTCTGACTAGTTACACTCCCAGCCTGATGCTGTGTTGTATTTGAAATTAATACACATCATTAATATTTAAGCTATTAACTTTTTTATATTCCAGCAGCATCTAACAGACCAATATGAAATATTTTCCCCACTTCCTGGTTCAATTTTGAGCTTTACTTCTAACTCTGATGGCTCTGTATGCTTTCTTCTTCTGGATTCTGGTGTATAATTTCATAAAATATAAGTGATTTAGTGGAAGTTTAGTTTTACGAGTCAGCGCAAAGTGAATAAATAAGAACAATAATACGAATCTAGCAAAAAGCAGATGCAGAGCTTGGCAAGTAAGTATTCTAAATCCTCCAAATCTACACATCATACTTCTGCCAGGACTGACCTGTGCCCCGTCCTCAGCTTAAAAACCAAGCTCTCATCTGACGTGCAGCTCCGCAAATTCATGTTATAAATGGGTAATTGCATTTACTATTATTAAAACCTAATAAAACTCGGACGTCACGAACAGCATGAAGGTCACCAAGATGCACAAGCGTGAAAAGATTCAGAGTCAAATAAAAGAAAATAAGAAGTTGCGAAGGTGGGGGGATGGCGTCGTCGCAAAGGCGCTTCCTCAGCTTTTTTCTTTCCTTTCCCTTCCCTTCCCTTCCCCTCGCCGAAACAGCCCTTTGCGCTGCCGACTCCCGACACCCGCCCGCGCCCCGCGGAGCGACCCCCCCACGGCGGCGGCGGCCGCGGCTCCCCATCCCCGCCGGGCGGCGCCGGGCCGGGCCGGGCCGTACCTGGGCCGGCCCCTCCCCGCCTCCGCCGCCGATACAAAAGCGGCCGCCGTCGCCACCGTGCCCGCAGCGGAGCTTCGCCGGGCCCCCGCGCATGGGGGGGCCGCCCCGGACATGCCCTTCTCGCCGCTCGGCTTCGCTCTCCTGCTGCTGGCGGCCGCGGGAAGGTCCCTCCCGGCGAGGCGGGTGAGTGAGTGCCGCGCTGAGCGGCGGGGGCTCCGGCCCCCTGCCCATGCCCGGGGGTGCTGCCCCTGCCCCGCCGCTGCCCGGCCCGGAGCCCCGAGGGGATCCCGCGCCCCCTGTCGGTGCTGGGCCGGGGGCTGCGCTCCGCCCCGGGGAGCGGAACGCGGGAGCGGCGGGAGGGCTGCGGGACGTGACCGCGGGTCCGGGCGCACCTGGAAGAGAAGTGGGAAGTTTAAACGCGTTACTTTTTGGGTTCTCGCGCCAACAACTGCGGCACAGCGAGCGGCCGCTGGAGCGCGGGGACTTCTCCGCGCGTGGGTCCCTGCGCGGGTCCCGCGCCCGTCGTGCGCGCCCCCGCCGGGGGATCGGGGATGGGAGGGAGGCGAGTTTGGGTTTAAGGCGAACGGAGTGAGGAAAGAAGAGGAGATGCTGCTGCTGCGAGGGCATTGCCCTCGAGGTAACGCTCCCCCCGTTACCGACAGGAAATAACACGCGTGTCTGTTTTGTCAAACAAATGTAGTGCCGTGGGAAAACCAGAGCAGGGTCGTGGCGGGCGATTGTAGGGTCGGCTGTGACACAGCGCGAGGCTGGGAAAACAAAATATAATCTGTGTGAAGAGCAAGGGTTGGCGATGGGGAAGAGGGAGAAAATGAAGGAAGGGGTGATGAACGGAGAAAGCTGACTGCGATTTGGTGGATTGGGGACAGAAAAAAACGAGGCTGGTGGGGACGGATGGAGGTTACAGCGTTGGAGGTGGCAGCAGGAGGCTACTGCTATAGGGAGAACAAGGATAGGCTCGAAGTGGAGGTTGTGGGCTCCAGAGGTGAAGGAAAGGACAGTGTAGCTGATGATAAACCAAATGTACTGCCTATGCGGTTCCTTTTCAGTTGCTAAAAGTTTTTGAGGTTACAGATTTACACAGAACAGCACTAAGGATCTGTTTAATACCCAACTAGATCTAAGTCTGTAGGATTGTTTTATGTATTGGCTTCTGGATTATTTTTTGTTTCTTTTTTTGGTGGGTTTGTTTTCCTTGCTATCTACTTCAGGCCCTTAAAGGAGCAACAGGCACAATTTGCATGAGAGAAGATTCTAGTTAGGAAAATCTCTTCATCAGGAAGATGATAAGACTGAAACGGGAGCCCAGAGAGGCCCAGAGAGACTCCACCTGGGGAGGTGTTTGGTATTTGACAGGATAAGGCACTGAGCAACCTGAGCTTGTACCACAGAGTAAACTAATGGTAGGGATAGCAGTGGTAGAGAATCGAAGTGAAGTACCTTTTCTAGCAAAGAGGTCTCCTTTAGCTGGATGCAGAACTGGGGGCAGGTGAGAAGAAAGAGTCTTCTCTGCCCTCAACACTGTGACTTCAGTCATGCAATAAAATGTGTACTTTTATAGCCTTTTCTGACACTAGAGGGTCTTATCTGACAACTTCTCTAGAGTAGTGGTGCTTGTATTCTGAGGAACTGTACAAAGTACTCTGCTCAATCCTAACTGTACGAAAGCATGAGATCTTGGCTATCCAGCTTCTTTGTTCTAATTCCACTTAGAATAGTGTTAGAGGTACTATTTAAGGTAAACTGAAACCCAGTAGTGGGTGGTAAAGTCTTGGTTAAAAACCAGTCAGTTGCGAGGTCTTCTGGTTTAAATACACAAGACAGATGTGAGAGGAAGGTAGAATAATTTAATACAGAGTTGGGGGAAGAAGTATTTTATTGGTGCTGTGACTGCTGTTTTACTTTGGCCTTCCCTATCTCTCCCATCAACTCCTCAAAAAAGTGAGAAAGGGAAGAAGAGTAGGCTGAGAATGTTTGTAGAAGGAAGAAAAATTTAAGTCCAGAGTTTTTATCTGAGCTTGTGCTGCTTACCTGCCATCATCTTAAATGCAGGGTGACTGGAAATTCCTTAATAAGTGTCTAGATCTTCCTTACAGCATTAAGGATAATAAAATGACTGAGAGCTGCTAGCACATGGCTGCACTGCAGAATCTTACTACTAATGACAAGCCTGTGTCCTTTACCTGCTTGGCCTTGAAGAGCGATGCCCTGATGCTGAGAGAGCTGACGCACAGCTGGCCACTGGTTCCCTACCATCCACTTCTCTGTTGGATTTGGATTTCACATCCTGGTTGTCTATGTAGTACTTAATGCTCAAAGGTTTGATAAGATAATCTTGAAGAAAGTAGTTTAAATGTCAGTGAAGAGCAGAAAGGAGCTGTGCCACAATTCTTAGCTGGGGGTTCTGTTCTTCAGACTACCCTGGTGCTTCTGTTCCAGAGCCTAAATGTGAGTAATACAGGCACCTGAGTGGAAGTACAGATGAATTCAGTGGAAAGGTTACACATCTTTTGATCTCCTCGCCTCTTATTTCTGAAGTGCTCTGGTATGGGAATAGAAGAGCACTCGCATCTATATCAACATTAATTAGAGTGTAAGGGTATGTGGATGTTACAAACAGAAAAGTGACGTGGAAGCTAGTGACTCCTTTCAGAAGCAAGGATGGGGAGTTGAACTACATCTTTATTAATAGGATAAACCCTCTTCATACTTAGGTTGGCTGGAAGTTCGGAGTTACTCCTTTTCTTTCCCAGAAGCTTGCATAAAGCTGATGCCTGCTCTCTGCAAATCAAAATATGCCAGACCAGTCTCAGCAGCATGTACTGACAGAGGTATAGAAAGCAGTGGAGGAAAGGGTTAACAGACAAGGTCTGACACTGGGCTACCTTGTTGTAGTAAGTATTCAAGGATACTTGGCTGGTTTCTAGGTAATGGGCTTCTTTCCCAGGAGTATGGCCAGATTCTTAAAAACTTAATATTTGTAGGCTACTTAAATTCATGACTATATTAGTATGGTGTAAAACTTAAATTAGATTACTGTCCTATTAAGTAATTCAATACAGATTAAATTGCTATCCCAAATGACTAAAACCTTTATGTATTCATAAAACAATGTGTGTGGGGGGGTTGTTGTTTGCTTTTACCTTTTTTTTTTTTTT